CTTTAGCGCGCGGGACAGCTTCGCCGTCTTGTGTCTTCGTTTTAACTCCTCGCTCGCTTATTAAATGCTAGATAGGTCCCCGAGGCGGACGTTACAATAGAGATCGTTATCTAGCCGAGGGGCGGATAAAACGTCTATTCTCGGTTAGTACCGGTACGAGGGATAGAAATAGAAGGCAGGTATATAGATGCCGAGAAGATTAGAGTAATAAAAGCAGAGATGAAGAGGCGGAGGGAAGAGAAAAATAGCAAATTAGGGACGTGAATAGTTAGACTAGCTAGCTAGCTAGCGACGAGCTGTCGATGTAGGGATTTTTTATTAAGACGAGACATCTTCTATAATGTCTCGAAGCCTTGCTTTCTAGAGAGTCGACTACTCTAAAGCTGCTAGAACCTCTATTATTAGCAGAGTAGCGCGTCTTTTTAACGGAGAGCGCAGATTTAATAATAATTGTCTTCTTACATCGATAGTATAAGGGTTTTTTATTAAGATGAGATATCCTTTAAAATGTCTTAAAAGCCTTGCTCTCTATAGAATTGGCAGTTCTAGAGCTACTAGAACCTCTATTATTAGTAGAGTAGCTCGTCGTTTTAACGGAGAGTAATGTTTTATTAACGATTGTCTTCTTATATCGATAGTATAAGGATTTTTTATCGAAACGAGACAACCTTTAAAATGTCTTGAAATCCTTGCTCTCTATAGAATCGACTACTCTAGAGCTGCTAGAATCTTTGTTATTAGCAGAGTGGCCCGTCGATTTAACGGAGAGCGCTTTTTTAATAGTTTTTATTTTCGCATTAACAGCTCCGGCTAGCGCGTTAGCAATAATTAAGAAATGAGTTTTACAAACGAAATTTCTTTTCCTTAAAAGAGTAGGACCTTTTACTTCTCTCTCCGATTTATAGCGGACTTTTCTACTAGTAGTGCAGATTCTAACAGCTCTATAACTATCGATTCTATAGAGAGCATAGCCTTAAGAGTGCATAAAGATGCTAACATACTATAATATAGAGCTGTCGAAATAAAGATTATTCGTCGGGGTAAGACATCCTTAGTTATGCTAGCAACGTCCTCTCTACAATCTCGACGATTTTAGGCTTATTAGATCCCTTACTAGTAGTAGAGTAGCTAATCAATTATATCGAGAGAGCATTTTAAGGCGCTGGTCTTGTTAATGTTATTTTATATCGACAGCTCTATAGTGCGATAGGATGCTATAAGAAGGATTAGTTAATAATGTAGGAAGCTAGCTAATAGGCGGACGGCTAGCTAATAGGCGGATAGTTAGCTAATAGGCGGACGGCTAGCTAATAATCTGAAGGATTGATTAATAATATAGGAAGCTGGCTAAGTATTACTTATAATTAATGTAGGCCGTCTATAGAGGAGGAAGAAGAAGAAGAGAAACAAAACAAACGGAAGATCGAGGTAAGTACTTTACGCGGCTACCCGCCCCGTCCGCTCTTTCTTCTTAGACTATACCTCCTACCTTTTAGGCGCTCCTCTCTTTTCCGTAGAGCCGTAATTCCGTTCCTCGTAATTCCTACCGTGTAGATGTATAAGGCAAGATTATATCTACCTATAGGTACCTCCCCTAAATACCTAGACCCTAATTACAAGCTCTATAAGGACAAGAGTTATAAAGTAGCGAGGAATTTCGATATATATATCTTACTAGTAGTCTCTAATGTAACAGAGTATTCGGCGGCGCTTATTAATATTAAAGGTAATACTTAGTTTCGAGACATTTTCCCTTATCGAACATATATTCTTTATAAACCTAGACCGCATTGTTTATCTACATCGCCAAGCTTATCGCTCTCTATCTCTAGGTACGCCTTATAGCTAGTAGGTAAGACGGCAAACCTTTAGTTTTTTACTAGCCCTTATATATAAGTAAATAAATACCTAGCGTCGGGCCGAGCTTCTTAGCGTCCGTGCGGAGCTATCTTTCTCCTCTATTATCTTCTTATACTACAACACATAATCCGATTAGAGGTTCCGTAGACTCGATCGTAAAAGCAATTATCGTATTCCTAGGACATCGAGGGAGGCAAGGTTAAGCAAAGAGCTATTAATATAAGGGGTTTTTTTTTGGCCCTCCGTTGCCTCTCTCTCCGTTTAATAACGGGCTACACTCTACTCGTAGTTAAGGTACTAGCAGCTCTAGAACTGTTAATTTTGCAGAGATTATAGTCTTAAGAGTATACAAATATAATAACTAAGAGCGTCTTACCTCGCTAAAGTATTCTCGTATCGACAGCTCTAATTTTAATAATACTAGATAGAATGCGGCTAAGTCTAATTACCGCGGACACGGAGTAGGTAGTAGAGATAGAGAAGCATTAGGCATAGAATCTAAACTGTGTTATAGTGGAGGGACGATCTAATCGACCCTTAATAAGATGTAATAAAAGAAATTTGCTTTTTTATTCGAGCTACGACCGACCTATATAACGCCTAGCAATCCGAGAATAAGACAATTTTTATCTGCCGTTTATAAAATCTCGTTAGCGTCGGACGTTCCCCTTAAGCTACTTAAGGTCGCTTCATTCGTAACGTTACTCTATAATCGATAAGAAAGCGAGTATTCTAGACTAATCTTCTCCTCCTTTAGCGAGCTTACTATATAAGTAAGTCTATCGTAGATGTTCTCTAGCTCTAAAATTCTAATCGCGAGATCCTCCTACGTAGATTTTAGTATAAAGAGTTTCTAGTACTAACGACGCGCCTAACAGGGCAGGAAATACTAGTAGTTAATATTGCGCTAGGACTGTTAAGTTAGAGTAGTAGACAAAGGTGTAACTAGCTTCTTCTCTTCTACTACTATCGCTAATACCGGACAACTATTTTTACCGACGCTAAGCTAACTAACTACTATAGCATTGTTACCTTATCGACGATAAAGGACTACTTTTTCGGACGAGTAGAAGATTCCCTATAACCCTAATTGTCCGGTAGATAACAGCGTTATGCTAATTCCGGGTACGTAATTAACGCTATATATACGTAGAGTTTCTCGTCGTAGAGGTGCGTTAGCAGCATTATTTTCTTTAATAAGAGTCGTGAACTCTAAGTCGCCTTATCCGAGAGACTAGACGACGCTACTAACGCCGACTATAGCTTTTAGCTTATAGTATGCTTTATAGTTAGCAAGCCTCCTTCGATTATAACATGCGTGCTACTCGGTCCCGGAGTTAATAAGTATTTCGGACCCTATAAACCAGAACTTCTACTAGATTAAGGCTCCTAGTCTAGCGGAGAGATAAACAATAAGCATAATATAGATGGCTTTAGCGAGAAGTATAACAACTATATAAGACAAGGGGGGTGTTTCTAGCCAGTTTTTAAGTCTCATGGTTGATTGAATTGTGTGATCTAGAGAGGAGTTCATGATCGCGATGGTCTTCGGGTGATAAGGATGGAGTCCTTTTTTCAGTATTTGTAGAGTCCAGCAGGGAACACAGATGCGTTGTTCCTAGGATGAACAAGCGAGCAGTGAATGTTAGGGTGACTGTTGGGTTGAATGTTGGGTTGAGGGTTGAGAGAGAGGAAGTGGAAGAATATATACTGAAAGCTGTGAGTGGATGTGCGGCTGCCATAATTATTAAGTTCATGGTGTTCCGTAATAGTGATTCGAAGAGAAAGGAATTTGGTAACGGAGTGAAAAATGGCAGACCACCTGGTACGCCTCTTCAAAGGTCCAGCACTGTGCTGCCACTAATCACAAAGTCGCTCAAAATATGCTTGCAATTTTTGGCTGGTAGGGACTTCGCAACAGTGCTTGCCTCTCGTTCCCGTACAATCGCACCAGCTATCATTGCTCGATCTGAGTCTGTCACGGGCTGTGCTCTTTGCTTGGTACTGCCAAAAGGTTCCAAAATGTATGTGCAAATTTTCGCCGACGTGGAACTCTCGGCTGAGATCTCGTTACTTAGTATCATCCTTTAATCACTCAGAGTAGCCACTGCGACTGTGAACCAAATGGCAGGATGGTTAAGGTAAAGGAGGTTTGCTGCCAAGACTTTCGTACCAAATTACATAAAGACAGGCGCGTCCTCGTACCTCATCTTCACTCTTATACTAACCCTCATAAGACGGTGCTCAATATGAGAGACCTCATACCAGAGCTTTCGGTTGTCTTTTATGCTTTCGCATTTTCAGCTGCGTCCTCGTTAGCGCTGCTTTAGCGTAGCATCGCGGAGTTGTCCCTCCAGTTTCGAAGAGTCTCCTTCAGAGACCATCGTCTTCTTCTGCTCTCAATTGTCATAAGTAATGAAAGCTTCGGGCATCTTGAAATTCAGACCACAAAGCTGCGGTCGATCGAATCTTCTGAACCCGACTCCAGGGTAGGTCTTGGAGCTCCTAGGCGGTAATGAAGATACCGTTGACGACACGCTTACTCAGTTGAAGGTCTGCGCCTTGGAAGATTACTGAGCCTGGCTCTTTGCTGTCCAAGGGAGTATCGTCCCCCTCGTACATGAGTATAGGGGCTCCGGTCAGCCCACCGGGGCTCGTACCGAATACGATAATGTCAGCGTTGGCAATGCAATCGTCAGCATTGCCAACGACATCCCTATGTCCTGTAAATTTCCCCAGTATCGGATCGAATGCAATGATGCCACCAATGTCGTCGAAAGCGAAGGATCAGTGCGATCCAAAGCCAAGGGCCACGAGGATGGCTTTGAGTACTTTTTTCCAAGCCTCTCACCCCCTCATCCCAGTCTTCGGGAGCCACGGAGATCAGTTCACGGGGTGATGCTGGCTCATCTTACCCACGCTACATCAGATCATCGGCTTTGGCCTCGATAGGAGGCACATGAAAGGATGCAACATGCTACAACGCCTCGTTCGCCAAGAAACTTTACACCGAAGGCTGTGCATGATGTATATATACATACATACAAACGCTCCTGTACCTCCGAACAACGCACAATCGTTGATGCAGCGCCCATCATTCTGATTTGCAACGGATAATCGCTCTGTTACATCTCGTTACCATGCTACCCCCTCCAGCAATACTCATTGGGGCCCTTGGGTTCGCCCATTTCGCTGTTGCTAGCGACCCGCCTGACTTTTCCACCTACCAATACCCCAACGCCCCCAAAATCCAATTTGAACCAGAGTACGACTTTTGTATTGTCGGTGGAGGGACAGCTGGCYTTGTTCTCGCCAATCGTCTCACGGAGAGCGGTAAACACAATGTCATTGTCCTCGAAGCAGGACCTTCCCCGGAAGCCGTGGCATCTTCCAGGTCCACCGGAGGACACTCTTTCGGACTCAACGGTGCGAAGAGCTTGATAGACTACAACTTTGACACTGTTCCCCAGAAGGGTTTGAAGAATCGAACTCTTACCTACCATCGTGGACGAGCACTGGGAGGTAGTAGTGCCACCAATGGCCTCTTCTACGGTATGGGAAGCTCCACCGTCTACGATTCATGGGAGACCGATGGGAACCCTGGCTGGAACTGGTCGACCATTCAAGCGGCTGCTAAGCAAGGTACTGTCTTTGTCGGCAACCCAGACAACACCAACGACCCCACTGGTATGACCTGGGATCCAGCAAACTACGGCACCGAAGGCCCTCTCAAGATTGGGTTCCAGGGCCACGTCTCCGCCTCTATTCCATCGTTTATGAACGCCACCAGCGCCATCGGACTTTCCAWCGTCAACGACCAGAACGGAGGATCACCCGTGGGCGTCAAGCAGGGAACCATGATCATAGACGAGAACTATCAACGCAGTTCATCCTACGACTCATACTACCAGGCAGCCAAACATCGTCAAAATCTCAACGTTCGAGAACGGGCCATTGTTACGCAGGTCATTTTCGACGAGGACACTATCGGAACTGATGAAGTACACGCTGTTGGTGTCTCCTTTATGGATTCCGGCATCTTTCACAACATCTCATGCTCGAAAGAGGTCATCATCTCCGCTGGAGCCTTCCACAGCCCTCATATCCTCAAATTATCTGGAGTTGGCCCGCGGGAAGAGCTGGAAAAGAATGGTGTTCCGGTCGTGGTGGAGAACGAGAATGTTGGACACCACATGCAAGATCACACGTCGTTTAGTGTCATCTACTCCGTCAAGCCGGAATTCGCGGACATCGCCAGTAACACGAGAATGGTAAGATTTGTTCATCCCCTTCCGTACGTGCTTCGCTGACATGCCTTGTGATTTTCTAGTTCACGGACCTCACCGTCTTGTCGGAGCAACAACGTCTCTTCTACAGTGCCTCCAATTCCAAGGAAAAGTCTCGCAGCAAATGGTCCGATCCATCTGGATGTACAAACGCCTTCCAGCACATCGCCTCAGAGGAGCTCGAAAGGATGGGCGCTGGGGATATCCTGAAAGCCGGCTGGGCCGATCAAGCCCACAATGAAATCCTCTACGAAGCGGTCTGGTATCCTCTAGCCAACACCAAATATGGAGCTCCTCAGGCGAACACTTCGTACATCTCACTCACAGTCTCCAATTTGGCCGCGTTGTCCAAGGGAAGTGTCAAGATCGATGGCAAGTCCGGGCTGGGTGATCCGGTGATTGATCCGAACGTGAGTCTTTCTGCAAATTTATGAGGAGTTTTCAAATTGCTGACATGGTCGTTCCATCTACTAGTACCTCCACGAGACTGCCGATCAAGTCRTGGCAGTCGAAGGTGTCAAGTACCTTCGCAAAATCGCTCAACACCCATCTTGGCAGCAGTGGATCACTGAAGAGGCGGCACCTGGGATAGAAGTCCAGAGTGATGAAGATATTCTCGAGCAAGTCTCCCCTCCCACTCGTATCGTCATCCATCTCCATTACTGACGAGAACCTGCATCGCAGCTATGCCAGGACAACTATGATCCCCAATTGGCACGCATCGAGTACCTGCCGCATGCTTCCCAAAGAAAAGGGCGGCGTGGTCGACTCTCATCTTCGAGTGTGAGTTCCCACCTCATTCCCCATTCTTGAGGAATTCTGCTTTGAAGATGCGTGAAACTGACGAGAAGCGATGTTCATCTAGGTATGGCACCAAAGGCCTTCGAGTTTGCGATGTTTCAACTTTTGGCCGTCTGCCGGACGTGAACTTGGTGGGCCCGGTCTTTGCAGTCGCTGAGCGGGGTGCCCAGATCATCAGGGAAGAATATGATGATCGGTCTCCTCCTGCCGCGCGCACACGCAGGGTTTAATTGTGAACTTTGGGTTAGTGTTCTATGGAGGCCATAGACACTTTCCATGACAGTAACTTACTGTCAAGGTGTAATCATCTCAAAAATTTGAAATTGCTGAGAATTGCCAAGAATTGAGCTTTGGAGTTACCCCGATTGCCCCCGATAGGCACAATATATCCTGGCACCACCTCCCTCCCCATCTGAGAGACCTCGCACTTTTGAAAGTGTTCCATATATCCAGCAGCAGAGTAGACAGTATTCCAATTGTAATATCCACGTCTCTCATCTCGAGGTCCGAGGCGACATGCTTGGCATGACACTCCCCAATCAAACTTCCCAGTTTTTCGATCCAGAAAGGGAAGTCTTATCATAGCCATAAAGCGATGTGAGTTCTGCCCATGGCGGTCGAGCTTTTGCAGTGACTGATGTGAAACAGGAGGCTGGGGAAGCTGTGCTGGCTGGGGAACACGCCTCCTCCCCAGTGGCCTTGTTCCTGGATACAAGGCATCGGGGTCCTCTTTCTGCATAGACCCAGCTGCAGCTGCCGGGAGTATGCGCACTAACGATATTCGCCTTTGATATCTTCTTTCACTTTCGGTGTATTGCCCCGGTATGCTCAATAACGTCGGCAACGTGCGCATGCTCTTCGAACTCAGACCGAATTCCTTCTTGGCTGAAGATGCTGTAATGGACAACAAGTCATCAGAATAGGTTACGCATGTGACGCAGTGACGATGACCGGTAAATATGTCAAGGWATGGTCCGAATTGCCCACAACTGAGACAGGCTWGCGTGCAGAGTGCGTCGAAGATATCTTGCGCCGTAAAGTGAATCGCCATACGCGTGGAGAGCAAGGCGCGTAATGCATCGGGGGAGTGCTTGATTATTGCGTGGTATGGTTGGAAACTGTCAACCAGAGCACGAGCGCGCCAACTAATGGCTCTGGAATTCGTCAGACTCTGCAAGTCAAGCATATTGAAGACCGAATGGATGATCTCGATTGGAAGGACTTCGAAATCCCCGATGCTAGAAGGAGAAGCAGTTTGCTGGAGTCGGCCATTGTCGAGTGGGCAATGTTTTTGGAGAGATTGAAGTTGAATCGTCATTCGGCTCAGTTCAGGGCGCGACCAGGTCAAAAGTCGAAATTCGTCCGTACTCAAGCTTGGAGGCGAAGCCATATATGTATAGTAGATTTCAAGGAGGTGTCGGATCTGTAGTGTGATGGAGATCTGTTGATCGAGGTGAATGAAGTGAATCTAGGTGGAGATCGCGGAGCGCGCGACTTTCGTGATAAGGGCGACAGCGGAGGGAACTCCGGGTGGGGTAAACACGAAGCCGTTGCGAGCGTTATAGTTTATAACGTATAGCTAAACCTTATTCTTATAATTTACCTATATATATATATATATATATATTATTTTAGCATAATAAGTATAAAACTTACTTAGTAAACTATTATTTATATATCTAGTCCCTTCTTTATTACTTATATTATTAGTAATAAAGCTAGGAATAGTAGAGAAGCACTTAGCGCTATATTATCTTATTAACTATCTAGTTTAATCTAGCGTAGTTATTATATTATTAGTTATATATACTTCTTACTTTTTAATATATTCGATTAGAAGCTTATAATTCAAGTAGAATACGTTATAGACGTCTACTATAAGTAGCTAAGTACTAGTATTCGAGTAGTCTTAAGATATAAGTACTATTTACTTAGTATCTAGTTTCTCTCTACTATTTCTAATAACGTTAGTAATTTTATAATAATCGTGTCTATTAATAGCTCTATATAAGAGAATTGAAATACGTGTTAGACTATTAATTTATAATAGATTAATGTTATATAGTCGCGTAATAAATACATAAGGGTTAGAAGCGATAATAATAAGAGCACGCTAAAGGTTTCGACTTTAGCCTCCGCGGAGTAGGTACCCTTAGAAATCGCTTGGTACTCTTCTAGATTTTAATCAACTCCTTAACAACAGCCTCGAATGGATTTCGAATGTCGCTCGTTGTGCGGCAATGCGGCCCACTACAGCTCATCACAGCTGCAACTGTGACGTACCACGGTACCACACATAAACTCTCCATCGTTGGCGCATACTCTAATCAGGCTTGAATCTGCAGATTAGGGCGTCTTTATGCTAACTACCCAGAGCTATACTCGCAGCATACAAGAGCTCGCGGCCAGGCAACCATAGGCCGGACACACCAACACGAACGACCATCCCCAAGCCCAGGGTCAAAGTATTCAGCAGCAAAGGGCAGAATCTGCGATCAGTGATGATGACCTCAGGAAGCTTGGAAGGAGATGTTTACCTGCTGGCCAGGAATGCACCAGAGTCTGCCAGGTATATCTACAGACCAATGTTATGCACGACCCGTCGCTGACAAGAGTATCTAGGCTTGTTGAGCAACACCGGATGGCTACAGAGTATGCGGAGATTCCCAAGTCCCAAGACCGAAGCTTAGGACAGCATATATTGACAGCTATGCAGGCTCTATGGCCAGCTCATTCATCCCACGATAATGCCGCATCTCCCTCAGAGGCCCAAAATCGCCGACGTTGCATGCGGAACCGGTGTCTGGGCTTTACATGCCGCACAGATACTCCCAGAGGCGCAACTAGTAGCCTTTGATCTTTCCTCGGCACAATTTCCATCTTCCAAGCCCGAGGGAAACGTTACCTTTGAGGTGGCAGACGCCAAGCAACCATTCACAGAATCTTTTCATGGCACATTTGACCTCGTGCACATCCGTGCCCTGTTCGCAGCCATGCACCCGCCAGACTGGGAAGTGGTGATGCAGAATATCGTCCAGTTGCTCAAGCCGGGCGGTGTTGTTCAGTGGGAAGAAGCTGATAACACTGTGCGCTGCCTGCGAGGATCAAAGGAGTTTCAGCGCTACAATGGCATTCCCCTAGTTCTGGCCAAATTTGGGGAGGCCATGGGAGACAGACGATCAAGCATGATGAGAGAATTGCCAGCTGCCGCTTCAACCACAGGCTTGAAAGACATTGATATTGATGTCTCGTCAACTGACCGCATTCCCGAATTCAGGGTTGACATGACCCGCCAATATTTGATGGCGATAACTGGATGGGCCGAGAAGGCGGCTGTTTGGAAACCGGAGGAGCTGGCAAAGGTGAGAGAAGATGTTGAGGACGACATTAAACGCGGTGAGTCAGGTCAATCGGGGCAAGAAGGAGGATGTGCTAATGACAAGATGCACAGGCGCTTACTGCCGCTTGGATACGATCATTGTTGTCGGTAAGAAGCCGTGAGCGGAAGCATGGAAAGACAGAGCTGTCGATGTGAGGATTATTCATCGGGGCAAGACATCCTCAGTGAAGCCAGCAACATCCTAAGGCCTCGCTCTCTGCATGCTCGACGATTCTAGGCCTTCTAGAACCCTTGCTAGTAGCAGAGTTGCTTATTAATCAACCGAGAGAGCATTTCAGAGCGCTGGTCTTGTTGATGACTTCTCATTTCGACAGCTCTGTGGAAACATGTCAACTATTGCACTCCCGCCGTGCAATTTCCACGTTATGGTTAAAGAGCACTTGAGACTATTATCATCTCAGCATCATCATTCATTTCATCATGCCAACATATTCCATGCATGGCTATTTGAGGGTATCTTGCCATTCATCCAACTCAATTCTCCATCTGCTTTGAGCCGTCAGCTTCCCGACGCATGCTCGATACATCCACAGTATCCTCGACGTATATGTCGCCCGGACTATGCTTTGAGTCGAAAGCTTTGCCCTTCAATGCATGTAAATCATGCATCGCGTACGCCTCATTGGAACCGATGGAGTCGTTGTGGGTAGGGTCATCTGGCTGCGGGTTGTTTTGCTTCGCTTTTGCTGAACCCCTGTCGCTACTGCTGCGGGAGACAAGGGATATCACGCTTCGCGCTGCCTTGACAAGGAATTGAGGGTCGGTGCGCAATGCAGCGGAGCCGATGACTGAGCGAATGGTAAGCAAGTGGCTTGAATAGTTGGGCACTTGGGATGTCTACTTGGAAGGTTGATTGCCACAATTGCAATGCCGCATTCGAGGGTGAAGAAGAAGAAGGTCCGTGACTGGAAATCTGTATCGTGTTGTCAGTACTGAACAAGTCAGGAGGGATCGCAGTACGTACATTGGGCACCATCGTCGGTGAAATGAGACCATCCAACTGGAGTCTTGGTTAGCGAAGTTTCTGCAAGCATACCGTCGGTATTACTCACCCGCGAAGAGTTCCGCCCAGATCACCAGCCGAGCGATTGAGGCTCCAAGAGCACTGGAGGACGTCAGCGCAGTCTATAGGGAGAGGAAGGGTTGAATTACACAGCGCCGAGGAGAAAAACCGCCCCGATGGAGAGCTGGGTCTTCGGAGTGGCATGCAGTCGGAGTACCTTCGATCGGGTCAATTCAAGTTCACCTCAAGTGCTCAAGAAGGCCATACCGGATACAACGGCAACGCAAGCACCCACAAATCCAGCACCACGTCCGAGACAGACACAGCATAGAGATAAGTCCACAAGTTGCTGCAGTACTTGTCATGGTATTTCACATTCCACAGGCCGTACCAGTGTCCTTCACAGGACAATCCAAAAAGGATCAAGAAAGCCACGATCCAGATCGCGAGCAGCACAATCGATGCGACAACAATCTTGATGTAGAGAGAGGCTTTGGTGCCGCGGACGTGGAAGATGCGGTAGTACAGGAAGCAGGCGCTGAGCTTCGTGCATCCCAAGCAGAAGATGTTGAGGAAGCCCAGGGAAACTTGTAGCTGATGAGAGATGTGTTAGCCGGAGGCGAAGATGGCAAGATTTCCAGAGCTGTCGATATGAGAATTTGTCATCAACAGCAGCTCCCTGAACTGCTGCTCCCCCGATAAGTTTACAGGATACTCTGCTAGTTGTTAGGATTCTAGCAGTCCTAGATTTATCGATACTGCAGAGAGCGATGCCTTAGGACATTGTAAGGATGTATAGGGATGTCTTATCCCGATGAATAATTCTCATATCAACAGCTCTGCTTCTTATGACGGACCTTGGCGGCGTAAGGGGTCGTGAGCGCGGCAATTTGAGCCTTGTGGCTGATTTTCAATTGTCCCAGTGCTCCGATGTGCACAACTACAAGATTGGTCACTTATTTGATAGTGCAAGAGATGCGACATTTGCTTACATTCGAACATCAGCGCTGCGATGCCTATGAAAGTAACCTGATTTCCGTCAACGCGGCGCAGAATGATGGGATTCTGACACGCACCCAAGCAATGAAGATCAAGTAGTCATCGGCCCAAAGTCGCATCCTGTTCTTCCGCCGGCAATGTAGTCGAAAGGCCAGCGAGAGCACGGTCAATCCAACCAAGGAGCCCGTGAGAGCCTGGAGGCCCACCGAAGAGTACGACGAGGACATACTGGAGCGCTGTGCGGTATGCAAGAAGGAGGAGTATGACGAGCGATATAGAGGAGGAGATGTGCTGTCGTAAGATGCCATGCGCAGCAAGCAAAGTTTACCGTGCCACGAGCAGACATGTGAGCACACAGAGGGTCCGCGGCTGGTGGCAGCCATGCTCTCACGCATGCTCCAATCCCGCAGGCCGATTCTAGACGGGTATCAAAATCACGCTCTGCTAGCGCTATGTTGAGGGACGATCTGTTGCATCCTTCTCGCAGGACAGGATCAGATCACCTCGGAAGGCTCGTCCAATTCTTTACTGGTCTGCCTGCTGTGGCTTTTCATACGAACCCCGGTCGTGTTGACCAATTGCAACTCCGTATCTGTGGGAAGACTGAACGACACACATGGCGCCAAAAGTCATCGCGGTGGTTTAGTGCTATACAGCGTCTTCGTGTATGAGGCCATCTGGTGCTCGAGCCGCTAAAATCCTTCGGAGTCAAATTGATCAATCCTATTGATGGGCGGAAGGGACGGCAATTCGATGCTCGGAAAGGATGAACGATCAGCATGGCTGTGCAGACTCGGTGCGAATGAGGCATGAAGTTTGGCATCTTAGCTTCACGCTTGATGTCAAGCTGGTATGTAGATCATCTTGTGGGGCCATTCTTGGGGCAAAAGAACGAGTACATTCAACTTTCCATACCACAATCGTTACCGAGTTAAGTACTAACCAAACGATTACATAGTTCAATATGCTAGAAGAGAAGAAACGAAACAGGGGCAAGGGGAATAAAGTCGGTGCCAAGAGCCCTAAAAAGGAGAAATCGCAAAACGTTAATTATTAATAAGAGCAGTGCCCCGTTCTGCTCTCTCGGTCAATTAACGGGCTACTCTACTAGTAGTAAGGATTCTAGTAGGCCTAGATTCGTCGAGACTATAGAGAGCGAGGCCTTATGATATAAGTAAGGATCCCGAGAAGGTCTTACTCCGACGTACTCGGATATTATTACTATATAGCTAGCTTAGGGCGGAGACGAAGGTTTGTTATGTAATTGGCTACGGCCGTCACTCGTGCCGCATCCGAGGCAGGGAAGTCGTCTCCATACATGTACTTGGTACATGTAACCCAAGGTCCTTCAATTTGATGAATACAACCATCTCATGATGCTTCTYAGACAAAAAGGGGCTGTCGTTCTTCCTCACAAGCCCCGCAAACATGGCTGTACGCTGGAAGATGCCCAACAAGTCACTAGGTGAGAGTCACTCCTCGTGCGCAAGCATCTATTCCCTGCTGACATTTTGTGTAGTGCGATACTCAGCTGAAAACCCACCCACGGTCTCTAATTGCATGACATTGTCCACCCGACAAGAGCGGCCAGGCGCCTTTCATGCTGTTGTTCAAGTACCTCAACGAACTCATGTTGGTACATTAATGGTAGCTGTCGACCAAGCTTCGCTCATTATCCCCGACGAATACAAAGACAGTTCCGCGAAACCCTACGCCCTTATTGATTTCGACAAATCGCAAGTACGGGTTGACTCATCATACTCTGGTAGCCTGGAAAACCCGAAATGGTCCGGATTTCCACGATTAATCACGAAGTTTATGGTGGCCAAAGTTGCGGATTTGACGATCCATCTTTATATTCCAACCGCAAGCGATGATCAGGATATCCTACTTGGATATGTGAGACTGCTACCGGATTTTGAAGCCAATGATGAAGAGCGGCAGTTCACCTTCCGCTTGTTGGACCTGCACAGGGGTGGAACTATCCGAGTAGGAGCAGAGTACCTGCCCTCAAAGACAGAGTCTGGAGCGCGTCAAGTGTGGTTGAAACAGCCGTCCACGGATTACGAGGGGTTACATGTTAGGACTTACGCATTGCAGGACATGAATATCGATCGAGTCTATGCGGCCAAGAGGTTTTGCAAGAGAGAAGCTCAAAGTCCAGCATGGTATGCTCAGTTCATCCGCAAAGTGGACCACCCTTTCATCGCACCTCTACTGTTTACCGTGGAGACATCCGACGAGATATACCTCTTGTCACCCCTAATTTGTGGTGGACACCTTTATCATTATCTGCAGATGGACGGCGGTTTTGAGCTAGAGAGGGCGACGCACTATGCGGCAGAGATCGTCTCTGCTTTGGCATATGTGCAGAGTCTCGACATTATGTTCCAATACTGTGGACGTTTACAGCCCTCAAATCTGCGTTTAGACGTCGTAGGGCACATCATGATCTGCGACTTTGAGCTCCACATAGGGTACCATGAGCTGGTCCCGAATCAAGAAGATATGCAATGGAATGCTTATCCGTCGCCAGAACTACTTCTGGGCCTACCAACAACGAAAACCACAGGTACGAATTGCTCCGAGATCAAGCGAACGAGCAGATGCTGACCTCGACTCAGACTGGTGGACCTTGGGTTCGATTCTCTTCAAAATGCTACTTGGAGTACCTCCCTTCGTTGAAAAAAATCGCCAAGCTGCACATTCGAGAATACTGGCCAATAAACCCTTACTTTTCCCGGAGCCAAACAGTCTGACAGCGGAGGCCAAAGATATTCTTCGTCGGCTTCTCTGCGCACCTCAACAACGGTTGGGATTGAACGGAACCTGGGAAATCGAGGAACATCCTTTCTTCCGTAGAATCGATTGGGGTCGCTTGAGAGGACGCGAATACACGCCTGCTTTCAAGCCAAGCGACGAGGGTCCAGCTATGATATTCTCCACTAAGCAAACGGAAAAAGAGCGTCGATTGATGGATTGGCAGTTTGCCCTTTGGGGGATGACAATAGAACGGAAACCCCTTCCACGCGGATAAATCCTGGCCCGTAGCGTAAGATGGCGGAACTTCGAGCTCGCAAGAATGCTGCTTGTGGCGGGAGGCGAGCTTCTATGTGGAGATTTATCATTTGTCTAATTCTACAGCGATATCCCTGGCTGCTCTCAGCGAAATCAGTGGTAGTATTGTGTTTGTGCGATGAGGCTGGAGCGAGCATGAAGAGATGGTTGATCACTTATGCGTACAGGTGTCAGTCCTGCTCAACCTTTCCCAAAGGACCACAAGACAAGACTTTTGACAAGAGTAGCCGGATCCAGCTTTCTGCGAGATTAGGAACGGGGTGCATAGAGCATGTAGGCTACTGTCGGAATACTCACTCGATCGACGCCGAGAAGGATAAGATGTATAGATGTGACCTCTTCCTTTCTTGATGGCTGCATCGGAATCGATCCACGAGACCACGGCACTCGCAAGTTCCTTCTTACAAACACTGTAACACAGCACGAACGACGGTTGGAAGCACGTAATACTTGGTCATTGTCTGATYTTGCGTTGAAGTTTCGCACGCATATCACTCTCATGCTCTTCTACCATCAAACGTGGGCTTTACTTCYCAGCCAATGTGCGACAAAGAAAGTCAGCGATCCCTCCTCCCTACAATCTAGCATCGACAGTGCTACTAGATGCTATCACTGTCGTTGTGGAATGCCAAAGCATCGGGAAATACTGCCGGAAGCTTTTCGCATTGGCGTAAGCCTTCTTGAACCCTTCAATCTTTTCATTGGTGTATACTGGGCGACTTCTCTGGCCTAGTGAACCATGTAATCGTTTGATCAGTACTCAGGCGGGTGACGATCTGGGAGTCCCAAATGTTGAATGTCTTCTTTCGTCTAGTTTTGGATTACAAGTGGGCAAACGGACCGAGAAGGAGGCACGTCAGGTAGATACCGGGTACTCATCTAGAGCAGAAACATATGTGCGGGCACGTTTGGTATGTCCAACGGTAAGAGCGGAGCGAGGCTCTTTTTTGTTCTTTAGAAGGAGACGAAGGAGTATTTGCTTGTTGCGGATGTGTATCAGTCAATGCTAAAGGGCTAAAATGGTTATAGCCTCGTTGGATCTAAGTTTAGCTCAGCTTCAGCCCCCAGGATCGCCTTGGCGGCGCTAGCCCTGGCGTCTATATATTAGTAGGGGCTTGGCAGGAGAGCCCACTTTTGATTGGCTGTAGACCTAATCACGCTTGCCCCTAGACAGTCCGTAGGCGAGCGTACGATCCTTCTGTTAGACAACACTCTGCCGAACCATACGGAYTGATTTCACCACCAACAGCATGAGACTATCGAGATTCATCCGTCGGGCAGTGCTAGACAATCCTTCATGCCATGCCAGGCCAGACTCCAAGCTTCATGTACATACATATATCTATACATGTAGCCAATTCTGTCTGTCTTGCTACACGACCATCTCAATCGACACTACCACAACGACTCCTCCTCACAGCATTCATTGTTAAGCAATATGGTGTCACGAATGTCGAGCCTCGCCTTTGACGCGCTCACGCTTTGCTTTTTATTTTTTGCAGTGCTCAGCAACGCATCCGATACCCCACCTGGTCACCCTCACGCCAGACGTGATCAACTCGAACGTCGCACTTTCTTCAGTAAGACAAAATCTCTCGAGCCTCCCAATGTTCTCTGGTTGATACCTCGTCGATATATACTAACGACTCTAAACAGCCGAGACACCCGACAACACCAACTTCGACGACCATCAAGCCACCCCCTTTACGGAATTCCGCGGCTGCACAGCCGACCAAAAGCGGGACATCACCCAAAGCTGGTGGGACGTTGTCAATCTAGTCAGAATACCAGTTGCTACCAACTTCAACGATCCACCGGGGGAGTTGGAATCCCGCGTCTTTGGCTTTGATGTGCACGAACGAGAGGGTGCCGGCGATTTCATTCACAGTCAGTCATCTACCACGTCCCCAGTTTTCTGGTGTGTTCCCATCCTGCACATGGATTTTTTTAACCTTTTTGCTATTGAACACAGTGATCTACGCGAATATCATGCAGCTTTACACCGAAAAGATTTACGGAAAGATTCGCATGAGCTGCGTAGATATCCGCCAAGAACATAGGACTAAACAGGTTACATGTCAGGGTGCTGCTCACCTTGGCTCGACCGGTGGATATGCCTTCTCATACAGTCAGAAGCTCGAAGAGAACACCATCGTCATGTGCCCAGTATTTTTCGGACCAGGACAGGAACTGCTAGAGCCCCTGCTCGCGGAGGTGCGGAGCCGCACCGWATATCAAAGAGACCCGCATCAGATGAATGGCAAGACTAGAACTCTACTTCATGAGATGACGCATTTGGCTTCGATTTCAGAGACGTCGGGAGGTAAGCTATCTACTCTAACTACTCCCTGCTATCATATATGACCATGATGCTAATTGAGATGAAAAACACCAGCGGTCGTGCATGACCAACCACTACGTTTAGAATCCACTCAACCCGATCCAGTGTACGGACCGCGAATGGTACAAATAATGGGGGCGCATAAAATTAAAAATGTGCGAGATCGGACACAATTGAATGGTACGTCGAGGATTGTTACACGTCTTCCGGAACTTGTTGGGTCCGGGTTCCTTCATTTATCCTATGTGCTAACATGCGCCTGTTCTTCGCAGCGGATTCCTACGCCGAATATGCTACATGGAAGTATTTCGAGGCGCTGTTCGGAACGCCCCATGCCGTCGATGTGCCCAGGGAGGAGCAAGAAGCATACGAAGCYGACGAAGAATCTCCTCCAGCTGAAACTGATACACTTGTGTGCGCTCCAACCGACACCAATGGTCCGGTTCTGAGCCGCGCCAACGCCAAAGCTGATATTGATGCATGGTGTGACTCGTTGAACCTCGATTATATCAGCCAGGATGATACGCGCAAAGAGCAGGTCAAGCCATTCGGGAGTGCCACTCCTGGGACGAGCCTTACCGATCTCGTCTACAGCGCCAACTGGGTTCCTGACGTGCAAGGCGAGGGCTGCCCGGAGAGGACTCGAGGCACGGAGCCGAAGCACTGCAAAAAGGCCATGTATGAGGTGCTGGATTCTTGTGTTGGTAAGGATGGGATGGATGATGGGTCGCCGAGGTATAGTGGAAGTCAGCAGGGAGATGAGCAGTGTATAATTTGGAAGATTGAGATTGTTGACAAGGGAGTTCAGAACAGGAAGAGAGGTCAAGGACCTCTTGTGGGTTAGATTATGTGAGAATTAATGACTTGATTGCTTGCCTATCTACGAGTGAATGACAGCCCTATATGTATCCACAAGCTCAATCTCCAGAAGGTTTCACATTACAAATCAAGTGAATGAATCTCTCCAAGTGAATAGATCTCTCCAAGGGAATCTTCTCGAATCTCCAACAGATTAAGAAAGGCTGGCTCTGGATTAGTGGGAGGATAAAAGCGTAAAAGCGGTGGATCGAACAATCAGTTCAAGGTAACATTGTTCATTATACCCAAAAACTAAGATACTAAGAGTCAAATAGTTTGTTAAGTAATAACATGACCCCTATTCCATGCATCTAGCCTAAGTCCTAACCAAACTGAATTGAGCTGATAATGAAGGCGGGGTTTAAGACAGTAGAGCTATCGATATAAGGATCTTATTAGTAGTTAGCCTTTATACGTTATATCCTTAGTAGTTATTGCTCTTATATCTTATTAATAAGATATAAATATAAGGTCTTAGTAGTCCGTATAGTAGTTATTAAATTAATATTATTATAATTAAGTAGTATTACTACTACTACCGTATAAGATAGTGTTATTAGTGCTTCTTAAGCGAATAAACTTGTAAGGGTGTAAAAATGTAGCAATGTATCGACTACCTTCGATTACTCGATTAGAGATAAGACTAATTCTTATAGGTCGATAATACGCGGTACGCGAGGAAGTAGGAGTCGCTTCGC